AAGCTTAATAGATGGATGTGTTTTCTTTTATCCCTGTGTGTCTTTACATGAGGTCATGGTTTCCAACAACTCCAGAAATTCTCCCCTATCTGTCAGGCATGTAAAAGGGCCCAGGACTTTACAACATGAATGCTCAGATGAAATGGCCCTTGGACTTTGGAATTTGTTCATACCCAGCAAGGTTTTGCTGCTTTTAAAAATGTAAAGCTTGGCTGTGAACTAGGATTTCCAAAGCTGGCAGGGAGGCTTGCTGGGCATTGGAAGGAAAAAAGGGTTCAATCCATGAGCAATATCTTTCATGGGATTATAGCCAACCCGGGCAAGCTAGCACATACCCCATGTGCCCCAGTATAAGTGCAGCGAATGTGGAGCATCTGATAATAGCCAGAGACTTCATGGCTCCTCAAAGCAGGTTCTATGCTAAAGAAAGAAAGAAAGAGAGTCTTCTAGACAACAAAGGCTAATTCTAGTACCTGCTCCCCCTCCCTAAACGGACACTCAACACCTTGTACAAGAGAACAATGACAATTAGGAAAAGTCAGTTCGGTTTCCAGGATGATGTTGCTAGCGAGAGAACCCTCTGCCTCACAATCTGGTCTCATTCAGCTCTACTAAAGCTGCTTCTCCATCTAAAACAAGAGGCAGTCACACGGCGAAAAGGACTTTGAATGGGGAAGAAAAAGAGACACATATACTGTTTTGATAGATATGGAACAAGGCCTTGTTTAAGAGACTCTGCAAAGACAGCCAAGAGAATCAGGACCCATTGCTACCTTAGCCCAGAGAGTCTAAGTGTGTGCGTCCATGGAGGAACCCAGGAAAAAAATCGTGAAGTTGTGGGAGAATAACAACAGAGGACAGTGACCCCCAAACACACAGGACCTACAACTCCATAATTCTGCTTTAGGATGACCCCATTTCCAGCTCTCTCTGTCTCTGTCTCTCTCTGTCTCTCTCTCCATCACACACACACACACACACACACACACACACTGTCCTTCCAAACCCAGACAGCTCTCAGACCAGGCCTGGCCCCAACCTCTCTTCCCTTGCAGAGGACCTGAAAAAGGTGAGCCCTCCCAAGGTCACAGTGTTTGAACCATCAGAAGCAGAGATCTCCCGGACCCTGAAGGCCACGCTCGTGTGCCTGGCTACAGGCTTCTACCCCGACCACGTGGAGCTGAGCTGGTGGGTGAACGGGAAGGAGGTGCGCGACGGGGTCAGCACGGACCCTGAGCCCTACAAGGAACAGTCCGGCGCGAATGTCTCCAGCTACTGTCTGAGCAGCCGGCTGAGGGTCTCCGCCACCTTCTGGCACAACCCTCGGAACCACTTCCGCTGCCAGGTCCAGTTCTACGGGCTCGGGAAGGATGACCAGTGGGACTACCCCGAGGCCAAACCCGTCACCCAGAACGTCAGTGCCGACACCTGGGGCAGAGCAGGTGAGTGGGGGGGGGGGC